AAGATATTGGGAGAGATATAATCTCTAGACTCTGAAGATAGAAAAATATTAATTAACAACATACCTTTAAACCACACTCAATACAGTGCCAGCATCCTGTCTGGAACTAACTATGGATTTCTACATTGTATTTTAGATCTATGGTTTTCTTTTTTTTTCCCTCCACAAGAATGTGAGCTCCTTAAGGATATAAACTATGTGTTTTCTGCTCCTAGTAGGTAACCCATACATATCTGTCAATAAAAAAATGAATATGAGTCAGTAGAATTCTGATATTTATTATCAATTCTTTCTTAGTAGATTCTTGGTACAATTCCTACCTAAGGAATAGTTGGGGAGCATGACTTGATCCAGGTCCATTGTCTCGGTTCAGAAGAGTTGCCCAGGTCCTTGGTGTGCTCCCATATAGTTGGTTCTGTGTCTGTCATTCTCTTGCAGAAGGTCTTCTCCTGGGCACAGAGCCAGCCTCAGAGGGGAGCAGGGGTAGTAAACTACCAAGCAGGACTAGCACCCAGTTCTTCTAACCCTTAATTCAGAGTTAATTCCACAAGCTCATGTATAATCAGTACAGTAGGAGAAAAGAGGAGGGAGTGAGGTTTTCTGTCTAGTTCGGTCCCAGAAGTCTTCTTACAGAAGGTCGGCTTGAACTGGCCATTTTATTTTTATTTTTAGCTATGTCATAATTTGTTTTATTTTATTTCAGAATTAGCATACATTAATAATATTAGGAGATTTCATTGTGAGAATTCCATATGTGTGTACAGTGTACTTTGAACAACTTCACTCCCTCCATTCTATTCCCTCCCTCCTCCTCCCTTCTTCAAATAGTGTTCGGTGGGCTTTATTATGCTGCCTTTATATATACATATATGTACATACATACATACATATGTAGTGTACTTCTATCCTCTTCACTTTCAATATCTTTTCCTTTCCCCATTCCTCTTCCTGATGATTCTCCCATCCCCACAGCCCTCCTTTTACATTGATATCTGAACTGGGCATTTGAAAACAGAACTTCTTAAACCTTTTTGGTAAGGAAGCTCTAGGCAGATAGAAGAGATGGATTAGGATCCCTGTTGAGTATGGGAGTGTACCCTGAAGAAAACTTCTTTAAGAAGAATTTTTTAAGTATTTTATTTTACTTCATTTATTGTTTCCCCCAAGTATTTAGCAACATAATAGAGCACTTATTAAATGCCAGGCACTTTTTACCTGAGGCTACACAAAGCCCAGCTCTCTTAGAGCATAGTTCTCCTGCAGAACAAACATTGAATGAATAAGCATATAAACCAGCAAGAGAATTTCTGATTGTGCTAAGTGCTATGAAGAAATCTAACACAGAACATATACATCTCTCTGTGTCTTGTTTGACTTATCTGTAAAGTAGAGATAATAGAGGTCTCCAAGTTCAAAATTTCATATCTGAAAGCTTTGTCCTAACTCAGTTGGTGGCAATGTGACATGATTTGAGTGTATTTGGAGGAGAATCATGGCCTAAACTAAAGAGACAGTTATTCTTTTTTCTTTTTAATTCCACTCAAAGTGTGCCACTGCAGAAAGTTTTGCGTCTTATTAGGGGTTGGTGCCCCAGGACCCAGCCCCAATGGTTTTGGATAAAGATTGAAGACTTGTAATACCTACTCGTGTGGTTATTGTTGTGAGGATTAAATGAGCTTATATACATTTATTGGCTGAAATGATACCTGGTCTGTGGTAAGTGCTACCTAAGTTAACTACTAGTACTGTCTTTACCACCATCCATTGTCACATGAGAGGACATTCAATTAGTTGGTAGGAAAGTCCTCTCTGAAGAAGTGTCAACTTGAGCAAACACTAAGAGGAAGTAATGATCTGGCTGTGGGAAGAAGAGGAGAAAGATAAATTCAGAAAGAGGGAACAGCAAGTGCCAAAACTGAGGTGGTTACAAGCTTGGCTCCAGTGGAGAACAGAAAACAGGCCAGATGGCCAGTGTGTGGTGAAAGAGGAGAAAGATAGTTCAAAGTCAGAGAGGTAAGCTGGAGTCAGGATATGCACGATATAAACAATGGGGAAAACTTAGGATTTCATTCCAAGTGTAATAAGAAGTTATTGTAGTTGATCTGATTCATGTTTACAGAGAATGTTCAGATGGAATGCTGTTTGATGGATGAATTGTAAGAGGAGAAGGGGAAGCATGGAGATCAGTTTGGAGTCTGTTGCCAGTAATCCAGGATATAGAAAATGACTCATTGGAATAGGGAGGTGTTAGTGGACAGGGAGAAAAGTGGATGTGAACAAGAGAAAATTTAAGATAAGGGAGAAAGGCCTTTTGGCGCAATTTTACATTTGAATTTAAAACATGACAGTAAAGGCTAGACATTGCACAGTCATTGTGTCAGGTGTGTTAAGCCCAGTGGTATTCAGGACTCACAAATACAGAAGTGCTACATCTCTCCTCAACTCTGCATTCAGTGACATCGCACTGGTAGCTCTAAGTTGGCCATGGTGGCAATGTTTACTATGGAAATTAACAAATGCTACAAACCAGGACTTAACAAAGGAGGGAGAGTTTTGTTGGGGGTCGGGGGTAATGGGGAAGCCAATTGTTAAATATTTACCAGTATTTCATTGGTTATGGTGTGACTTTATTTTTCTATAACTAAACTTCCTTAAAGCCTCCGTTTTCCTTGACCACAATATATGTAAATGAGAAGCATCCTGTGAAGCTTAGTTTGATGATTACTATCTTGATCGCTTCATTTTTTTTGGCAGTACTGGGATTTGAATTCAGGCCATCATGCTTATGAGGCAGGCACTTTGCCACTTGAGCCACACACCCAGCCCTTTATGCTTTGGCTATTTTTGAAATAGGGTCTCACTTTATGCCCAGGCTGAACTGGGCCATGATCCTCCTATTTATACTTTCCACAAATCTGGGGTGACAGGCACATGCTACCACCCCCCAGGTTTTATTGATTGAGATGGGGATCTCGTGAACTATTTGCCTGGGCTGGCCTTGAACTGTGATCCTGCTGATCTTTGCCTCCTAAATAGCTAGGATTACAGGTGTGAGCCACCACACCCAGCTTCACTTCATGTTTTTAAATCAGTAAACTCAGAGATATTCTCACTTCTTCCTAGGGTCTCAGACAGGTTTGTGGGAATGGGATGCGAAGAGAGCACTGATTCATCATCATTCTTTATCTATACAACTCACCTCCCTGGTCCACAATATTACTCTTAGCAACACTGACTATTGCCTTCTGATAGTGAGAGCTGTGTGTCCAATCATGTCTTCTGACAGAAGCACAGTCAAGGTTGGGGTCCAGGGCCTAAAGTCCTCTCTTAGAGCCTATACAAAGAGCTTGCTCTACTTATTTCCTTTCTGTCTTCTAAAGTCCTTCCTTCTATCTTGACTAAACCTCTCATTCCTGGGTAATGAACATTCCCCCTAAATCATTAAGTAGCATTGACGCTCTAAGAAGATGTATCATATTCAACTAAGGACTTCATGCACCCCCTGGTCTCTTGCCATATATTCCAGGTATCTGAGTGTTCCAGTTCAAGTGATATAACCCTAAATGATAACTAGAATTCTGCCGGGTGAAGATAGTAGGGAAGAGTCCAAGTGCAGAGGGACTTGAAAGTCAGGGAGCTTGAGTTTAGCAACAGGAAAAGCTAATAGAGGAGTTGTATCAGGTGAAACTAGGCAAGCAGGCAGGCAGGGGACAAATTATGGAAAAGTTCAGATCTCATGATGAAAAGTTTGAGCTCATATTATAAATATTTTTTTAAAAAAGAAAACCATTGGAAAGATTTGAGAGCAAGATAATGACTGCTTACTGTTTGGGAAGCTTGATAGATGACGTAGATTAGAAGAGTGAGATTGTAGGGGCAAGGCTTTGGAACAATTTCAGCTGATATTGTGTCAACTAAAATGGAAAAGCAAGGAGGATGCTGAGAAGGGGAATGAAAGAGGTCAGCTGGACTCAGTGAATGGTTTTAATGATAGGGAGAAGAAGACAGGCTACTGAAAGAGAAAAAAAGACAATTTTGCATCCCTAACATCAACAAACTTAAGGCATTTAAAGATGGGCAGAAAAGTCCTTTGAGATCCTTCTGAGCTTTCTTGCATTGGGAGAAAGAGAAAGATGGGGGAATTTTTACTGCCCTCCTATTAGAGAAATTAAGGGAAGTAAGCATTTGGTTTATTAGCTATCATGATTGGCTGATTCCAACAATTGGCAGGACAAAATCATTAGTTGTGCTAGAAGCCTTTTGTAGAACCACAGGCTGCATCATTCCAGGTATAAGTACTAGCAAAACTACCAAAGCTCTTTAGTGATTCTCAGGTTTTCTTTTAAGACCTGAATTTCCAGGGTTGCAGTGCCTCCCAAGCTAAACTTGGGTGCCCAAGGATCACCATTCCAGGTCAGCTCCTATATGTCCCATTTTTCCTGGGAGACTCTTGATTTATGGCTATAACCTTAGCGTAATTACTATCAGCTGACTTCTTCACTCCTCTAAGTATCCTACTCCATCAGTTATGTGGTGCTCTTGGTTACAGGTTGCCCGGGCAGTGGCCTGAGACTACTGCTCCCTCCTCTCCAAATTTATGTAATATAAACCCAATGGGTAAAGGAAACATTCATCCCTAAATTATCTTGGAGGCTATTTCTGAGGTGATTTCTGAAAACAGTTCAAGAGGAGAACCAGCTTCTAGAATGGCAGTGGAAACTGATGATTGATGGCTCTTCATATCAGCATTCTCTGTAACAATGAATACGAAAATGCAGCTTCTATACCTTAAAATCTATTTTGCTAGAAAGCTAACAGGCTAAAAGCTAAATATTAAACTAAATTATCAAAAATATCAGTGGTTGGTAAATACAATCATGGGGTGGGGGTTCTGTTTACACTGATAAGAACAAGACCTGAATTGTTTATTTTTACAATGTAGCAAAAGAGAGGCAGCAAATGGGACTTTTTAATTCTGATGGTTGGTATATTATAGAATAATGATTCATTCTTTCTTATATTTTCAGGTGCTTCCACTGAGGACATTGAAGAGACAAACTCTTGTCTTTTTACACTTGATCCTAATTTCCAGATTCCTTGGGGCTAGATGGTTTCCTAAAACTCTGCCCTGTGATGTCAGTCTGGATAATTCAAAGGCCCAAGTGATCGTGGACTGCACAGACAAGCATTTGATGGAAATTCCTGAAGGTATTCCCACCAACACCACCAACCTCACCCTCACTATTAACCACATCCCAAGCATCTCCCCAGACTCCTTCCACAGGTTGGACCACCTGATAGAGATTGATTTCAGATGCAACTGTGTACCTGCTCGACTGGGACCAAAAAACAACGTGTGTACCAAGAGGTTGCAAATTAAGCCTGGAAGCTTTAGTAGATTCACTTATTTAAAATCCCTTTACTTGGATGGAAACCAGCTTCTGGAGATACCGCAGGATCTTCCTCCCAGCCTAAGGCTACTGAGCCTTGAGGCCAACAATATCTTTTCCATCATGAAGGAGAATCTAACAGAACTGGCCAACATAGAAATACTCTACCTGGGCCAAAACTGTTATTATCGCAATCCTTGTAATGTTTCATTTTCAATTGAAAAAGATGCCTTCCTCAACCTGAGAAATTTAAAAGTGCTCTCACTGAAAGGTAACAATGTCACAAGTGTCCCCACTGTTTTGCCATCTAATTTAACAGAACTCTATCTTTATAACAACATCATTGAAAAAATTGAAGAAAGTGATTTTAATAACCTCAACCAATTGCAAATTCTTGACCTAAGTGGAAATTGTCCTCGTTGTTATAATGTACCATTTCCTTGCACTCCCTGTGAAAATAATTCTCCCTTACAGATCCATGCAAGTGCTTTTGATCCATTGACAGAATTACAAGTTTTACGTCTACACAGTAACTCTCTTCAGCACGTGCCACAAAGGTGGTTTAAAAACTTGAACAACCTTAAAGAACTAGATCTTTCCCAAAACTACTTGGCCAAAGAAATTGAGGATGCCAAGTTTTTGAGTTCTCTCCCTAACCTTGTTCAATTGGATCTGTCTTTCAATTACGAACTTCAGGTCTATCATTCATCTATCAACCTACCACGTACATTTTCTTCATTGAAAAACCTGAAGATTTTGCGGATCAAAGGATTTGTCTTTAAAGAGCTTAAAAACTCTAGTCTCTCTTCATTACATGATCTTCAGAACCTTGAAGTTCTTGATCTTGGCACTAACTTTATAAAAATTGCTAACCTCAACATATTTAAACAATTGGAAAGATTAAATGTTATAGATCTTTCAGTAAATAAAATATCACCTTCAGGAGATTCAAGTGAAAGGGACTTCTGCTCTAACACCAGAACTTCGGTAGAAAGTCATGGACCCCAGGTCTTTGAAACATTGCATTATTTCAGATATGATGAATATGCAAGGAGTTGTAGGTTCAAAAACAAAGAGACTCCTTTCTTGCCTATTAATGAAAGTTGCCAAAATTATGGGAAGATCTTGGACCTAAGTAGAAATAATATATTTTTTATCAAGCCCTCTGATTTTCAGCATCTTTCTTTCCTCAAATGCCTCAATTTGTCAGGAAATGCCATTGGCCAAACTCTTAATGGCAGTGAATTCCGGCCCTTAGGAGAGCTGAAATACTTGGACTTCTCTAACAACCGACTTGATTTACTCTATTCAACAGCCTTTGAAGAGCTTCACAATCTGGAAGTTCTGGATTTAAGTAGTAACAGCCATTATTTTCAATCAGAAGGGATTACGCACATGCTAAACTTTACCAAGAACCTGAAGTTTCTGAAGAAATTAATGTTGAACGACAATGACATCTCGACCTCCGCCAGCAGGACCATGGAGAGCGAATCTCTTGTCACTCTGGAATTCAGAGGAAATCACTTGGATATTTTGTGGCGAGATGGCGATAACAGATACCTACAAATCTTCAAGAATTTGCTAAACTTAGAGGAATTAGACATCTCTAAAAATTCTCTGAATTTCTTGCCTCCTGGAGTTTTTGACGGTTTGCCTCCGAATCTAAAGAATCTCTCATTGGCCAAAAATGGACTCAGATCTTTCAATTGGCGAAAACTCCAGTCACTGAAGAATCTGAAAACTTTGGACCTCAGCCACAACCAACTGGAAACTGTCCCAGAGAAATTATCCAACTGTTCCAGAAGCCTCCAGAATCTGATTCTTAACAAGAATCAAATCAGCCATCTGACAAAGTACTTTCTAGAAGATGCTTTTGAGTTGCGCTATCTGGACCTCAGTTCAAATAGAATCCAGATTATCCAAAAGACTAGCTTCCCAGAAAATGTGCTCAACAATTTGAATGCTTTGTTGTTGCATCATAATCGGTTTCTTTGCACCTGTGATGCTGTGTGGTTTGTCTGGTGGGTAAATCATACAGAGGTGACTATTCCCTACTTGGCCACAGAAGTGACTTGCGTGGGGCCAGGAGCACACAAAGGTCAGAGTGTGGTGTCTCTGGATTTGTATACCTGTGAGTTAGATCTGACTAACCTGATTCTGTTCTCATTTTCCATATCTGTAGCCCTCTTTCTGATGGTGGGTATGACAGCAAGTCACCTCTATTCCTGGGATGTGTGGTATAGTTACCATTTCTGTAAGGCCAAGATAAAGGGTTATCGGCGTCTGCTATCACCAGACTCTTGCTATGATGCTTTTATTGTGTATGACACTAAAGACCCTGCCGTGACAGAGTGGGTTTTGGATGAGCTGGTGGCCAGACTGGAAGACCCAAGAGAGAAACATTTTAACTTATGTCTGGAGGAAAGGGACTGGTTACCAGGGCAGCCAGTTCTAGAAAACCTTTCTCAGAGCATACAGCTTAGCAAAAAGACGGTGTTTGTGATGACAGACAAGTATGCAAAGACTGAAAGTTTTAAGATAGCATTTTACCTGTCCCATCAGAGGCTCGTGGATGAAAAAGTAGACGTGATTATCTTGATATTCCTTGAGAAGCCGCTTAAGAAGTCTAAGTTTCTCCAGCTCCGGAAGAGGCTCTGTGGGAGTTCTGTTCTTGAGTGGCCAAAAAATCCACAGGCTCACCCATACTTCTGGCAATGTCTGAAAAATGCTCTGGCTACAGACAATCATGTGGCCTACAGTCAGATGTTCAAGGAAACAGTCTAGCTCTTCTTTGCAAAATGTGACTACTTAACTTACCCAGGAGATGCCTGGCTGCTTGGTTTCATTTCCTCATAAATGTTCCACCAAATGAGTGTTTTTGAAATGCTCCAGGACCTGGGATGCTCATATGAGAGGAAACTCACCAATGTGTGACAAAGGATTTGGAAAGATGGAATTTATATAATACTTTAATTCTTTCTTCTTTCTTTGTGTGTCCATTTGCAATTGGGCCTCTGCCCTCAGATCTTGAGTAAATACTGTTGTAAGAAGTGTGGCAAGGAGAGAATGCAAAACTCTGGTTCACCTATAATTGTGACTACTAAATATATACACAATCATAAAATTGAGAAAAACCACACTTCTACACTTAAGAAGTACTAGCATATTCAGAAATAGAGTAAGGAATTTCAAGCTCTGTCTATATGATAGCAAATTTTCCAGAGTGAAATAAAAACCCAGTGAGATCCTCAACAAATTGCTTCAGTGCCCCCTTCTGTGTGGACATATTTTGGCACCGAATAGGTGTAAGTTGATTCAGGGCCTCTTGCTGATTTCCTTTTGGCCTGTTGATGGGTTGCACAGGGAAATAAAGAAGCACCTTCACCATCAATAGACATGGTCTAAAAATGACTGTTTTTACCTTTGATGATAATTTGTGTGCTGAAATATTTTATCTGCACTACAACGTACTGTATACAAAGTAAAGTTGATTCATCCAATAAGCTTTCAAACTACTTTGTTAAGTTATGCCATATATCTGTAAATATCTGCCACCTTGATGCACCAACATTAGATGATCTTGATACAAAACCAAAACGGAGGATGGAAAGAGCATGTATTTATTGTTATCAGGGATGACAATTAGATGGATGACAATTATATAAATTCCTTTCATTTTTGAGGATGGGGGGAGAAGATGCAGAAGTCAGCAGACATTAACATTGAGAAAACTTCATATTCAGCTTTTATATTCAAAACAGAAAGGACCTAGACATTCTTTATTTTCTTTTTTATAGTAGTGGGGTTTTAATTCAGAGTCTTCTGCTTGAACTATACCCCCAGCCCTTTTTGCTTTAGTTATTTTTCAGGTAGAGTCTCATGTTTTTGCCTAGGCCAACCGGGGTCCACGATCCTTCTACCTACACCTCCCATGTAGCTGTGATGCCAGGTGCACACCACCATACCTGGCTTATTGGTTGAAATATAGGGGTCTTGCTAATTTTTTGCACCAGCTGGTCTCAAACTGTGATTCTCCTGATCTTTGCTGAACAGCTAGGATTACAGCATGGGCTCACCCATGCCTTGACCAAGACGTTCTTAAGACAAATTGTGTATAAATTCGCATGAGTTCAAAGTTTGAAACCTAACCAGCTTGTTTTATTTTTACAAAAGAAATTATCTACAAGGTTATCCACGCAATTTGGAAAATAGTGTGTGTGTGTTCAAATTCTAGACCGTTGTTTTGGAGAAAGTGTATTTTCCCCATATGTGGAAATGCTAAAAGTTTTACTTTAAGTGTAGCTTCGAATATAGAGTATATAAATTATTTCCAAAGGAAGCATCACACATTTCTAAATTAGCGTCTGGAATAATAGGGGTAATAGTTGCTAGAGTCAACTATTTCACAACTTTTGTTAGCTGTGTTGTGTTTAATAGACTCCTTTCTTCTTCAGTGAAAACAAAGAAAGTCATAAAAGATAAGCTTTTGGCCATTATATGTTTTCTTCTATTAAACACATAAATTCATACAGTTTAATCTATTTTTGGTGATTTATAAGACATAAATCACTTGAAGACAAGTTAAACATCTTCTGAAATGGATTAAGAGGAAGGGAAACTAAAAATAATGTACTCAGAAACCACAGAGTATTTCAACACAAGGTTAAGTACAACAGTTTGATGTAGGAAAACAACCAGCAGATGTTTTTTGTTTAATTCCATTATTATCTTGACAAGTCACTCTTCTAACTATCTGATGGTTCTCTGTGGAGTTCTGTAGGACTCGAGCTATTCATAGATGGCTTAGATCAAAAGCCACTCAAACTACCAAGGGAACATGACTCACTCCCAGGTCTCCCACAAGCTCTGGATGTGGGATTTTTCTGGTTAGCTGTTCCCTGAAGGGATTCCTAGATCCTCCATAAATTCCACTCCATCATCAAGGGTTTGGCCTCCAGCTCCTTTCATCTATGGGCCTGGTAAGGTGTACTTTGTCCTCAGATACTACACCCCAGCATAACATGGACACTTTTAGGATCCAAGTCAAGGTGAGACATGGGACAAGGCATGTTTTATGGCTAAACAAAAGGCAAAGCAAGTGTCTGCAGTTTGTAGAGAAGAGAAAGGATGGATCGAATGTGGCCCTATTCTTGATTCAGATTCTCTGGGCCCCAGTATCCTGTCTATTTGAAGCTCTGTCTGGATCCTCTTAAATCCAAATGGGCCTTTAAATGCAGTCGGAGAATATAGGGTACATGACGGGATGGGAGCATCTTGTGTCATCTCCAAGGAAGCTGCAGTTAGGACAATAACGATACACACTGTTCTTTGTGATGAAGTTTTTCCTTTCCCTTAAAACACATCTTTGTTTTACTTCCTCCCTGTCATGCTAACTCTGGGTGAATGAGAGAACCAGGTTGCAAATCCTGCTAGTTATTTATGGACCAATTTTAAAATGGGAGAGAAACTAAGGTTGGAGCTTTTCCTCTGGCTCTTCTGCACATGCTTAGTGAGCAACAAGCACTGGTTATGGGGAAGATTGGTTAGACCAGATGTGGGAACTTACCCCTCCTTGGAGCTTTGGGTTGCCAGGGCCAAGGAGCAGTTAATTATGGAACATGCTGCTGGTTGCATCAGATGGAAGGTTGAACCCTCCACCCTAAGAACACTGGGAACTTATTTGTAACATCTAAAGCTCAAATAACCTGCAGTGTGCTAGGGGAAACAACCAAAGAACATGATGGAGGGGACTCAAAGGGAGATTTGCTTTGAGAACACCAGGCAGAAAATAAATTCATTTCACTGAGTTAATGTAGTGAAGAGAACATGAAACCAACCCACTAACAAACCAACCTGAAGAAGGAGAAAGGTTAAAAAGAGAAAAAACTCCAAATCTCTGATGAGATTGTATGGAAAGAGTCCTGGTGACATAGGGCAAACCATGCTGGTGAGAATGAATTGACAACAGGGCAGTTTCATGCTGTTTGAGGTTTTCTTTCTTTCCCACTCTTCTTCCTTTGATTCCCCCTCCCTCTCAGTTTCTTTTTAGCTCTAGACACACATGGCAAGCCCCATGTAAGATGCAAGAATGAAAAGAAGGCATCCAGATTGGAGGTAGAGTCTTCATTTTGGAAGATGGTTGTGTGTTTACTTTTGGTTTAAAACCTATCTCTCTCATATACATAGTAACTTCCCACCTGCTTCATGGAGCATGATCTTCCATAATTGGCTTGGTGAAACCTTCTCTGGGTGACACTAGTTGGACTTTCTGCCACATTCAAATTCACATTCTTTCTGTGTATCTCAGCTTTCAAATATGGGAATTAAGAAATGATATAACCTTGTGCTCTGCCTTGAAGATTACCCTAATGTCAGGTTGTATTTCATTTGTAACATGTTTATTATGACATTTCAGTGATTTCATTTCTTCATATATTTATCCTTTCCCCTTCTTGATGATTTATATTAATGAAAAGTTTTGGAAAAGTTCAGACTTAAAATGACTGAGGATATTTGAGTCACAATGTCTGATGATAAGTACCCTCCAGAAATAGTCTGGTAGGATCTGGAGGCAAAGAGGAAGTTCTGTTGGCCTCGTGGCATTTTCAGACATCCCTACACCTTACCAGTGTGCAGGGAGAGACAAGCAGTTGCTTTTGCAGAGAGAAAAGGGCTCTTAGTGTTTTTCTAGCTGGTGGCAACTCCTAAGGCTTAAGAAGGCTAGACAGAGATGGCCAACTAAGATGTCATATTGCTCGTGTATGCTACACATAACTGCTTAAGCTATCACTGGCCAAGGCAATGCAGTGAGTATAGATTCCAAGGACTTTATGTAACTGAATTGCATGAGTTGACATTTTATTTTTTGGTGATACTAATGTTTGAACTCAGGGCCTCAGACTTGCTAGGCAGGCACTCTACCATTTGAGCCACTCTACCAGCATGAGTTGACATCTTGAGCAAAAGTTTGTAGTAATATATAAATGAACCCATATCTGAGGCCCATTGTCCAAGGGGACAACACTGCTATGAAGAGCTGCTTGGGGAGTTAGGACTTGACTACTGTCCTGCCATCACTCCTGGAATGATAAGTAGCATCCCTAGACAAGGTCTAAATGGAACTCCACCATGCAGGACTTAGTTACCTAGCGATATACATTAAATAAAATAGTTTGCAAGCTAATTTTTTAGGTGTCTTACCTATCCTCACCCCTCCCTTGTGTGCTCTCGCTTTTATCATGTGCTCAAAGTCCAATCCCCTTGTTGTGTTTGCCCTTGATCTAATGTCCGCACGTGAGGGAGAACATACGATTTTTGGTCTTTTGGGCCAGGCTCACCTCACTCAGAATGATGTTCTCCAATTCCATCCATTTACCAGCGAATGATAACATTTCGTTCTTCTTCATGGCTGCATAAAATTCCATTGTATATAGATACCACATTTTCTTAATCCATTCGTCAGTGCTGGGGCATCTTCGCTGTTTCCATAACTTGGCTATTGTGAATAGTGCCACAATAAACATGGATGTGCGGGTGCCTCTGGAGTAACCTGTGTCACATTCTTTTGGGTATATCCCCAAGAGTGGTATTGCTGGATCAAATGGTAGATCAATGTCTAGCTTTTTAAGTAGCCTCCAAATTTTTTTCCAGAGTGGTTGTACTAGTTTACATTCCCACCAACAGTGTAAGAGGGTTCCTTTTTCCCCGCATCCTCGCCAACACCTGTTGTTGATGGTGTTGCTGATGATGGCTATTCTAACAGGGGTGAGGTGGAATCTGAGCGCAGAGAAACTAAAGCAGATACCTTAAAAGCAACTGAGGCCAATAGGAAAAGGGGACCAGGAACTAGAGAAAAGGTTAGATCAAAAAGAATTAACATAGAAGGTAACACACATGCACAGGAAATCAATGTGAGTCAATGCCCTGTATAGCTATCCTTATCTCAACCAGCAAAAACCCTTGTTCCTTCCTATTATTGCTTATACTCTCTCTACAACAAAATTAGAATAAGGGCAAAATAGTTTCTGCTGGGTATTGAGGGAGTGGGGGGGAGAAGGAGGGGGCGGAGTGGGTGGTAAGGGAGGGGGTGGGGGCAGGGGGGAGAAATGACCCAAGCCTTGTATGCACATATGAATAATAAAAGAAAAAAAATAGTTTGCAACTGCTACCTCTCTCTCCAAGGCCTGCATTTCCAACCATGCAGTTGCCCTTGGATTGAACCATCATACCTAAAATCCTCAGGTAATTTATAACCTCCCAGGGATTGTTTTAATACTTCTGCCCACTAGTGCTTTATCATGGATTATTTGTGAGACGGTAAACTCTCCAGAACAGGAGAACATGAATGGGGAGGGTGCTTTTTAAAATAATGTTAACTTTGACTCCTATTCATACGGGTAGCCCCATAAAGAGAATGACAAGCAAAGAGAAGATGAGGAGAACCTCAGGAAAAAGGCTACAAGATGAAGTCACTGGTATTCTGACAATGTTCCTTTTTTTAAATTATTCATTTATTCACATGCTCATACATTGTTTGGGTCATTTCTCCCCCGCCCACCCTCCGCTACCCTCTTCCCCTTCCCCCCCCCTCAGTTACAGGCAGGTCCTGTTCTGCCTTTTTATCACTAATTCTGACAATGTTCTTGAGTGGGGGTTGGAGGAGGAAGAGGGAAGGAAGTCACATTTCTTAAGCAGCAAATGCAAATTAAATGCTTCATTTATTCCACTGTATCTTTACACCACATCTATGAGGCTGGTGTTAGTAGCTTTATCTCAAAGATAACGGGTGAGGGCTGGAGGAGTGGCTCAAGTGGTAGAGCACCTGCCTAGCAAGCCTAGCAAGCATGAGGACCTGAGTTCAAGCCCAGTACTGCCCCCAAAACCCCCCAAAACACCATTAAATCAGTAATTAAAA